TATTTTTTAATTAATTACAGTTTAGCCAAACTTTGGGCAGAAAGTTTATGAAAGAAGGGGGAGATAGAAAGACCTGGAGGGGACAGGAGCTCCACCAAAAGAACAACAGAACCAAAAATTCTGGGCACAAGGATCTTTTCTGAGACTGATACGCCAACCAAGGACCATGCATGGAGATAATCTAGAACCCCTGCATAGCTGTAGCCCATGGCAGCTCAGTCTCCAAATGGATTCCCTAGTAAGGGGAACAGGGACTGTCTCTGACATGAACTCAGTGGCAGGCTCTTTGATCATCTTTCCCTGAAGGGGGATCAGCCTTAACAGGACACAGAGGAAGACAGTGCAGCCAGTCCTAATGAGACCTGATAAGCTAAGTTCAAATGGAAGGGGAGGAGGACCTCCCCTATCAGTGGACTTGGGGAGGGGCATGGTAGGAGATGGGGGAGGGAGGGTAAGATTGGGAGGGGGCGACAGCTGGGATACAAAGTGATTTCATTTTTCTTTAGCAGCTGAAATTTGGTGACTATATGCTATTGTATATATGTGTTATTTTTTAATCTCTTACTCGTATATTGACAAGGTCCAAGCTTAATTCTACAACTTATCTAATGGGAATAGTGATACAATAATTAAAGGTACACAGGCACTTCTTTATGGGGGAGCCTCATGGCCATCAACTAAATCCCTACCAGTAGTTTAGTTGACTCTATCCTATTCTTTTGAGGTGTCGTATTTTACAGCAGCTCCCATACTGTTTTTCATAGTGACAGGGAAACTTCTACTTTCCCAACGAGTGTGCATTATGTTTCTTTTCTCTCTGCGTCTCCACTAGACTTTCTTACCTTCCCTTGAAAGAAAAATGTTACAGCCATTCCCACTGTTATGAAATAGAATTTCAATGTAGTTATGACTTTCATCTCTAAAGTATAAGCATTTTTTCCTTTATTTATTGGCTATTTATATTTTTTCCTTTTTTTTTTTTTACTTGTTCTTCTCTTGAGATACCTGTTCAGATCATTTTTCAATATTTGATTCGATTACTTTTTTGTTAATAATGTATTAAAGATGTGTAAAAGATTAAAGATAGCACATTGGTTAAACAGTGTCCAGTTTCCAGAACCCACAAACAGCTGTGATTCCACTCCCGGAGATCTGAGCTCACTTCTGGCCTCCTTGGGCACCTGCAGAAACACACACATAGATATGCAAGATGAGAAATAAGTCTTTAAGGAAGCCTCTTGCTTGATTTATGTACTATAAATATTAACCCCTGTTAGATAAGCATCTGGTAAAGGCCTCTCCCATTCTAAAAGTTATCTGTTCTCTTGATTGTCTACTGTGAAGAAGCTTTAAACGTTTACCTAATTCGATATTTAAATTCTTGCTTTTGTTCCCTAGGATATTGGAGTCCTGTTCAGGAAATCCTTGCTATATTCTTGACGAGTTCTCTTATTTTTTCAACTCTTAGTTTCAAGTCTTTCATAAAGGTTCATGATGCATTTTCAGCTGGTATTTATAAAAGTTGAGAGGTATGGGTTTAGTTGCACTGTCTGTGTGAATGTCAATTTGCTCAGTACTGCTTATCAAATGTGTGATTTGGGGTGCTTGCCAAGAATCACTGCTGCTGCACGGATTGAGTTCTGCATCTTCTGTGGGCCTACCTGTCTGTCTGTATCAAGTATTTCTGCTCTCTCGGTAATTCATTAGTGCACCATGAAATTAGATATGGCCACGTATTCCCTGCTGGTTTTCTGCTCATGGTCACTTTGGTGAATTTTGAGGTTTATTTTACTTATGCTTAAATTTGGATTTTGTGTGTCTGCCTGTTTGTTTGCTTTCTAGTTCTGTGAAGATTTCAGTAGTATTTTCTTGGGGATTGTATTGAATTTTCAGATTGGGAGAGGTGGCAGTACTGTTTCAACAGTGCTAATTCTTCCAATACATAAAAAGGTTTTCCATATTCTAGATTTTCTTCATTTTTTTCTTTAATATTCAGCATTTTTTCATTTTTAGCAACCTTTCATTTACTTGATATTTTCATTCCTAGGTATTTTATTTTAATCTGTTGGTGCTATTGAAAATGGAATTCTCTGTTTTCTGTCTAAATGAGTTTGTAATTGTCATATAAAAATTATCAAGTTTTATGTTGATTTTGATTCCTTTTTCTTTGCTGGATTTATCAGTTCTAAGAGTCTTGAGGGAGTCTTGGAATCTTGAGGGTTTTTCACAGACTGTATCATACCATGTGCAAACAGGGGATTCCTCCTTTAGGTGTTTGCTTCTACTTTCTTTCTCTTGCCAGATGGTCCCAGCTAAAATTTCATTGATGTTTATTTGATGTATTAAAGAGGAATGATAAGAATGTACTCTTTCCTTCTTTCTTGTAGAGGAAACATTGTCATTCCCCCCCATCCCGTGTGTTGCTCACTGTGTGTGTGTTACTGCACCACAGCCACAGTCACCTCTGTAAATACCGCCTTCAGCTGCTGCCATCTGGCCATCGCAGAAGCTGCAGCCACGTTAAAGTGGACACTCAAATAATCTCCAATTTAGGACTGAAGAGACAGCATGTTCTGTAAACTGCTTGTCCTGAGGACTGAAGAGATAGCGTGATCTGTAAACTGCCTGCCTGGAGGGTTATTCCCATCCCTGTCATAGGGTTATTTAACCCTGCCAGGTTAAAGGGGAAAATAAAAGCCTTAAATGGTGCCTTATGCTTCTACTTGTATTACTGGAGAGTCAAAGACAGGCAGATAGATCCTGAGGCTCACTGGCCTGGCAGCCTAGCCTACTGTGAGAGTTCAGGCCAATGAGAAACCCTGTCTCAAAAATGCAGGGCGTACAGTGTCTGCAGAAAGATTCCAGAGGTTGTCCCATGATTGAGAGATGCACACACATACTCATGCACTCACACAAACTTGTATGACTATGTATAGGACATACAAAAAAATACACATGTACACACACACACACACTATATATATATATATTATTGGGTACTTCATAGGAAAAGTTGACCATTATTCTTGTGTGTCACATTACTTCCTAGTAATCAGAAGGAACTCAGTGTAGCTGTCATAGAGGTTTGCCGTACAACAAGTCTAATTATTAGAAAATGCTTATGTTTATGTGTATATATTTTATATCTGTGTCTACGTGTGCTTAAATTTCCTTGTCAGTTGGTAATATTTGTTTTTAACATTCTGTTTTCTATTGTGATAACAACAGGAAACCTTTTAAAAGAATCTTCATAAACAATATTTAGCTAATAGCATCTTTTCACTACACATGATTATCTTTTTCATCTGGGGATAATTTTTCTCTTCTTTTGCTGTTGAGAAACAAATTTGTTTTAAGTCAAAGTATTTCTTGAAGTATAAACAATTTCACAGGGATACATAATGGACTAAAAGGTATTAATTATACTTGATATATGTATTTCATATCACAGGTATTCGTACGTTTTAATACATTATTCAATTTATTCTGCAATCTTAAATTTAACATGGAGTCAGTTATATATACTGTTATTAAAGTATGACTATCTTTATAATTTATTGACTACTTACTAAATAATCAATTTAAGTTTGATGGCATTAAAAACCAGAAGTAATCCTATGTGTCTGTCATCAGACTTGGAAGTTTGAAACAGAAGTTTAAGATTGGCCTACGCCTGTCTCATAACACAGCATCAATTTGATGACATATTTAGAGTTCATATAATTTCATTCTTCATGTATACTTCTACCCAAGACTTTGTTAATCTTTCTGGAAATTTCTGTCCTCCTTTATCTTATTTAATTAATATTTACTTAAATTTTATTACTAACAAAACTTATCTGATACATTATGAAATTTTGGCAGAGCAGAGGTAGTATTTTTAAATGAATTAAAATATTGCTAGTTGCTACATTTTCAATCCCATTTTTACTATTATTATTATTATTATTATTATTATTTTAATTAGGTAAGTATTAGATGCTTATTTGATAGATACATTTTTGTCTAGCTAGTGTTACTTCAACTTTAAAGTTGTGATACTGAGCAGAGGTATGTATTTGTGTGTTTACATCCCTGTCTACATGCATAGTGCTCATAAACTTATGTGCCAGTGTGTTACTCTAGCCACCACTTGAGTCCATTAAGCTTATTTTCTTCCTTTGTGTTTTTCATTGTACATAGATGTAATATTTTTACTGTGTATTTATGAAAAATGTGATCTTCCTATAAATTCACTGTATCAAATTCATGTTTTTTAATATTTGTTAGGATTTTATATTTGTTAGTTTTTAATTCCTTCTTGCTAGCTAGAATTGATTTATTTTGAGATACTAACAGTTACTAAGGACTATTATCTTTTATAATGGGCTTATCATTTTTCTCATTTTTATAGTCTATTTTTAGTTGATTTCAGTAGTACTTTATACATTTACTAGTCTGGCATCATTAAAAGTATATTCCATAAACTTATTTCTTAATTTTAGTTATATAAATTTCAAAATCAGAAGTTCCTGACAACTAGACTTATAATGTGTTCTAGAATGACTTGATTTAACACGAAGCCTAACTTTATGACAGTAGTTTAAAAATAAAGCTTTAAATTGCATTGTAAACAGTTAGAAACCAGTCCCAAACCAATTTGATTTACTTGATGAATGCATCACTTGCATAATAAACACTAAGCCAAAGTTCTTGTGCCAAATTTGTGTGTTAGCAAATATATTCTTCTGGACATATACAGTGGTTTCTATCTAGTTGTCTTCTCTTTTAATGCAAGTATGTTTTACTAATATTTAAATTATTAACTATATTTAATAGTTATGTTTTTATCCACCAAAATGCATAGCTTAACCAAAAGAGACAATACTACATCTAATTTATTTCGACTACTTTTTGTGAAAGTAGCTTATCAGCTTCACAATTCTTCTTTTATACATCCTAATTAGGATTCACAAGTAAGAACTAAATATTAACTTTATGGGTTTTTTTCTACTTGATAGGTGCTATGGATATAGAGGAGAGAAATCGCCAAATGAAAATTAACAAATACAAACAGGTAGCCGGATCAGATCCCAGACTGGAACAAGATTACCATTCGAAGGCAAGACAATTTTCTTTTTAAAAGTTGTGAAATAGTCAATCTGAAGCTGCTAGATTCTTTTAAACAACTGAATGTAGATGAGTCAGACACAGACACATAATGTAATGGCCCAGTGATAGTAGATGGTAAAATGTGTAATGTATTTGTGTACCAGCTCTTAGGAATATACTTCTCCTTATTAGAAACACATTATTATATAGCATACACAGCTCAAAATCTAAAGACCAAAGCTTTTTAGATTTGTTTCATTTTATAAAATTTGTATCCCTTCAAAAAATGTTTAGGGAAATCTTTCCATTATCATCCTATGTGGTTTTTTTTCATACAACTTTTTCTATTTTATGTTTTTTACTTCGATATTTTAATTAAATCTGCTTTATTACTGAATTATTGGAACAAACATACACTTATGAGGTTTTGTTAGTTCAAAAGGTATTTTAGCAAATATGTTTTTAGATTATCTTCTGGGTGTATGTTGAAATAAGAGGTCTAGCCAGGTAGAAAATTAAGAGTATTATTTTACTTATCTTACTCTTGGGGGCCTTTATATTTTAGGGTCATATTATTGTATAAAATGAGTTCCTTGTCTAATATGATTACATATCATATTCTCAATAATATTATTTTAGAACAGAATGTCGTGAAAAACAAAAGCCAATACAATGAAAGGGCATGGTAGGCCCAGAGGCAAAGTTAATGTGTGGCATGGCATGACATCCTACCAAGCAACAGAGGGAAGGGCCTACCTGACTGGTGGAACACTTGCCTTGTCTGAGATGCCAGAAGCAGAGTCATTAGCATCATTTATAAATCAAGGAAGCAAGCAAGGCAGAAATGTTGCATCACTTGCATAGTAAACGCTAAGCCCTGCTCCCAGCACTTGGGGTGCAGAGGCAGGTGGGTCTATGTGAATTCAGACAGGTCTACAAAGTAAGTTTCAGGCCAGCCAAGGCTACATGCTGAGACCTTGTTTTTAAAAATATAAAAAATTAATTAAGTAATTAATTGGTTCTCTAGAAACAGTAACAATGGTTCTTATTTGAAATACATAACAAGTTTATTTCAGGGTTTGAGCAAAGAAATTCTGTAGGTATAGATAAGAGTTTTTGTTCCCCGAAACACAAGTTTGAAGTCCACACTACTCTTTGGCAAATGAATATGTTAAGGCCCCCTAATTTTTATGACCTTTGACACATTTTAGCTTTGTTAAAGCTGAAGTCCTGATAAAGAACTGAGCAAGGTAACTTAGTAGTTTTCTAAGTGCAATCCCAGAACAGCAACATCCACAGCACCTGGGCATTGTAGTAATACAGTTCTCTGTATTCGTCACAACTAAGAAATCTCCAACAGGGGACTCTGATATAAAGTTTTAAAACTCTTGTTCTAACATGAAGTGATTCTGAAATTTAGTTTTTGTAGTGGAAAAAGTTGTCTAGAAACCAGAGATCATAATGTTAAAAATTGAATTCTTAATTTTGAGAGTAAACTGTCTTACTCTTTGTAAGACCTTGTGGAGTTTGGCTGATCCACCAGTACAAACAAAACTCACAGCATTCCTTTTCTGCTGCTAGGATTTTATACTCCGCCCACTTCAAAGTATAACCCAGTCACTAAGGCACAGTCACGATTAGCTCCTAATGTGGGACTGCCTTCACTTGGTGGTCTATCCCCTGTGTTAATTTTTCCCTCTTAAAGATAAAAAAAAAAATACAACGTATGTTTTTTTCAGTAAGGATTAAGTTAGTTTTAGTTTCCATGTTAGTAGCTTTTTAGGTTGAACCAAATTTTAAGACTAATGTCTTCTTTCTAAAACAGGCACTGTGCCTTCAGTCTTTACTTAATTCTTTTGGTTTTCTTTAAGAGTCACTTACAAAAACCACTATTTAATAATGTGTTTTAATATATCTAAATCCCCACCCTCAAAAGGATCTAATAAAGGAGCTGATAGAAAGTATTGAATGTTAGGTAATCAGCTCTTACAAAATATAGAAAGTTAGATTTTTTTATAATTTTTTATTTTTTTATATTAATTACAGTTTATTTACTTCGTGTCCCAGCTGTAGCCCCCTCCCTCATTCCCTCCCAAGCCTACCCTCCCTCATCTCCTCCTTGCCTCTCTGTAAGTTAGATTTTTGACTGTTATAAAATATGGAAATTTTAGTCACCTGTGGCAAAACATAGAAAATAGAGTTATCTACTGTTAGAAATAAAAAAAAGATTGAATAATATACTGTTCTAAGATAACATATAGAAAATATGTTATCTACTGGTAGAAATGAATATTGAATAATTTACTGTTCTAAAATATAAAAAAATTAGGTTATCTGCTATTATAAAACAAAGATTAGGAAATAACTTACAAAATAGAAATTAGGCAATGCGCTATTATAATACAGAAATGCTGGGTTTTTTATAATGTAAGATACATTATACATTATAAAGCATAGGAAGGTAATGCAGATGAGTATTACTTATCCACTGATTAATGGAAAATCTTAGTTACAGCTAATCCAGTTTTTCAGTTTGAGATAAGTGACATGAAACGTAAAGCTTTAGACGTGTTAATCATATGCTACACTTTGAACTACAATCCTGCAGTGTCTGACAGTATTATAAAGCTCTGTGTCGAATCATATTAAACATTAGACTAGTTTTTTAAAATCTTTGGTCTGCTCTGTTAATCCCTCTCAAAATTCCCCAAGACTTCTGTATGAACTTTCTATATAACTCTTAATATACTAACAATAATAATAAACCCTCTAGGCGCTCTCTTTAAAAGCATTCTGCTAAGCAGAAGTCTTTCTAGAAACATTTTATGTGTTTTTGGAAATTGGAGGTAGAAGGCATTTTTAATAAGAATATAAGAGAGCATGTATATGCGATTTCTATTTAATCAGAAATTTTCCCTCAAACAAGAATATGACATTGCAGTCAATGCATTTCCATGCTTTGGAATTTCTCCCATCTTGAATGTGATTCATCCCTTCCTTTCTTGGCAGTTATTTATTGATTAACTTATTTTTCACTCCAAAATCAATGTTCTCTTCACTTACTCAGACACAGGTAATTTCTCTATGAAACATCACCACAAATTGTGTAGTTGACCTGTGATTTATATGATGATAAATTAATATAATCATTCATAGTTAAATATAAACTATAATTAAGAATTATATAATATTTAATTTTATATCAGCTATATTTGGCATCTTGGATCATTTTCAAAACCATACAATATAAAGAATTTTTTTTACCATTTTAACAGATAATAGCATACAGCACTTTAGCACAGAATTTATAATGGACCTCAAAGATTATTTATCTGCAATAATGTTTTTTTTTAAAGGATATCTTGTAGAAATGTATATCCCAAATCATAACCATGTTATCTTCTGTGATAGCACGTATAGTGTAGTTTTGTGATTTGTCTATACACAATTAAAAAGCAAATGTAAGCCAAAACCTATAATTCATTTAACCTATGAATAATAACTATAATAGGCTATTCTATTAATTGAATTCAACAAGTTGGTCTAGAAGCAAAACAGTGTTGTAAAAGACAGGAAACGGGATTTTCTCCAGTCCTTGCATGAGCCAACTCTCAGATGCTGCTTCATATATCTTGTCACTTTTTCTCATTTCTAGTTTGATAAATACCCATTCACACATTCCAATTAACACGTTCCAATTAAATTTGTTTAAACAAAATATATATACCAGTAGAGATACATATTCAATTTTAAGTACAAATAAAACTAAAGTTATGGAATCATGGAATAAATAAGTATTTTAGACAACTCCAGACAAATTGTTCTTGCACACAGATTGGCACAGTTAACTAAAATGATCTATTTTATCACAGATAATTATTTTCTCAGCAAAGAAGGCACATGCGGTGTCTTTACATCGACTTTCAGAACACAGGCAATAGGGGCATTAGCAAGAGGAGATCGGTCGACACTGCTTAGGAGTGACCACACATAGATGTTTAAAAGGTGGTGTTTGTGCAGAAATTCTTGGAAGCCTACACATCCCCCACTGTGGCAGCAGTGTGGAATCACGCGTGCTCCCCTCGGGGAGTTTGGGGTGCCGTTAGCCTTTATCCTCAGGTTCTTTATCTGTTGACTGGGTGATGGTAGACACTTCATAGGCGGGGCGATGGTCGCCGTGTGAGCAGACCTGTGGCTTTTCACTTAATAAATGTGCAGTAAATGACACATGGTAACAGTCTCTGTTAATAGTAACGGGGTCAAATAGAAACGTAGGTAATGCAAAGGGGTGTGGTAGACCCAAATAAAATTTGAAGAAGTAACAACTGAGCGGATGAAAGGATCTAGTGCAGGACAAAGAAATGCCCCTAAGTGTTTCCTTCACTCTGTAATAAAGAGATTCAAGCAACTGAAATAATAAAAACAAAACAGTGTAATGGCTAAGAATTTTAAAACCTTGAAAATGATGTGAACATTATAAAAAATAAAACAATGGTCACGTGATTAATGTTTATAAACAAAATTATTGAGATAAGAAACTATACTGTCAAGGTTGACGTTACATATATGTAAATGTGTCTGTAATTAACACTGTTTTTAAATACTCAATTATGAGGCTCATAAAAATCTGAAATTTGAGAGATTAAATTTATATTTAGGGAAAGATTTTAAATGTAGATTAAATAGTCTTATGTACATTATTAAGATGTATAAATTGCATCAATTTTGGATATAATTTTGAAATGAGACATTGAATTTATTATGAGCTTTAGAGCAGTGATTGGAATAAAATTCTGGGGAAACTATTTTTCTTAAGCACAAAGTTTGGCATTGTACAACAAGCAGTCCAGTGAGATTGAGCCAGGTCTTACTTTTGCTGGAGAGCTTTGAGACATGAGTTCTCAAGCTCCCAAGACAGTTTGGCATCCTTAAACACAAGTGTCATAGTGCCCTCAGTAATGCCTCTGCCTTTCGGGTCCTCAAGACCCCACTCTCACGTCCCACAGGGAA